CCAAAAATCTCATCACCCCTGGGTGAGCGGTGCCTTCAATGGCTTTAGTACCTTTCCCAAGCCACATTGTGCTCGAACAACAGTATAGGACGGAATTCCATGGTCACGACCCTGCTTCAAAGCTATGGATATTAGATCGAGACCAATTCCATACGAATCCTTGAGGAATTCATTCTTAACTTCGTCATTCACTCTCAAGGAAGGTTTCGCAATGGTGATCGCCATGAGCTGCCTGAAAGGATGCAATTGGGAATGGCCTGATGATTTTAGATATGCTATTCTCACTTCAAGACGGTCTCAACTCCACGAGACTCATATAGTTTGCTTGGGTTGTTAAATGCATTAAAAAGCTTGTCCTGTGGCATCAAGCTCCACAAAACATAAGGGAATGTAACGGCAAATTCGTTTAGTACAGCACCATCTATGGCCATATCGTAGTCGGAATCGAAGCCCGATTGGTGTAGGTTCAGACCGTACTTTCTGGAAAGGGATTAGTTCGGTAGGGTTGATGGTCCTGTGTGGAATTTACCTGATATTTTCCTTGCCTAACATGATCGGCAAAAATTCATTGAAAGTGATGTGTTGTAATTGAGCAACAACTATCCGGCGAGTTTCATCAAAAAGTTTCGCGTCTGACCAGTGGCGATTTATTTCCTGAAGTCAAAACTTAGGTACGCCTGCAACTGGGAGTCCTTTAGCGAAAGTGGTTTCCAGTTATTTTTCCAAATTATATATTTGTTTAAAGATAACTCACTCGCAGAAGCTGTGCAACTCTGTTGTGTTGCTTGACGAAGATTGTGTGTAGAGCACCAACTCCAGGAAGAATGTTAGCGTCATCAGATCCAGAAAATAAGCATCTGGAAGGGCATAATTTTGGCAAAACTGGGAATAGAAAGAAACTGCTGAGACAATTTCATCAATCTACCCATCTTGATCGGGAGCTATTTGTCTTGTTAGAGCGTTCAGCGCCCGTTCGGGCGCTTGTTTGTAACGGCTCAGACTATTCCGGAAATTCCGCAGGACAATCAAAATCTGGAGCGGTTCCACAGGATTTTGTTTACTCTCAATCTACCCATCTATATGTGACTTCGAAACTGGGTATTTCCGCAGGATTTTCACGCCACCCTAGTTAAAAACGGGAACTTCCGCAGGACTATGACAAAACGCTACGAATTCGAAAAATGCCGGCGTTTCCGCAGCATTTTGAGCTCCCAGTGTTTCCGCAAGTTTTTGAGTTCATTGACGAACATGTCATCCGTATTGCAGAGGTTAGTTAAGCGAGTCACGCAGTCAATAGAACAATGTTCGTGTCTCGCTCAAGTGTTCTTTTGTGTTGTTGTGGTTCGCATTCTTCGAAACTTCCGCAGTACTTGCACAGAACTTCCGCAGATGACTCGACGGAGCTTTCCCAAACGTACTGCGGAAGTTACCGTCAATTGTCTAAGGGTGAATTTGCGCCCGATCAAAGATTGGAAGATTGATGATCACCGTTCTTGATAACGCGCTTACCGCCCTTCTGATTGACATTTCAATTTATTGTCGACTTGTGGTAGATCTCCGACACTACCTTGTGTGCGCAGCGTACCTGTAAAGTAACGTTCAAGTTAATGACATACATGGAAAAGCGATTTGTTTTTTGTACCATGATTCAAAGTTCTCAGTTTCTTAGCACGTTCAGCACTAGATCCATAAATCACGCTGCCATCCAGATAGGATGAAACCAAATTGGCTTGCTCTCTTGGTCCAAGAGCACAACCAGCTTTGGGCGCAACAATAGAGCGAGTATGAGGAAGACATGTGATTCGATTCCTGTAATGTTTACTGGAAACGTAAGCGACTGAATCGAGTTCTTCTTTATCAATAGGCTACCTAAAGGCAGGATCTGCTTTTGGCACATCAATCGCATCACATTCGGGATGTGTGAAACTGTTACGACAACATGGGAAAGATCGAACATTTCCTGTAAGGATACGGTATGATTACGGTATTTTGCTATTGGACGGAGCTGAAGCTACCATCAATAAGTGCTTGCGTCTCTACTACATTGACCATATCAGAAGCGACGAACTGCATCCAGTGGGCGAACATGGCCGTTACTGTAGGGTGAGGCTGGAAAATTTTGGTAAAGTTGGTAAAAATTAGGAAAAAGTTGAAAAGACTTACATTAGCATTAGGGCTAAAAAGTGTCAGTGATAGACCTCGAACGGAAGGTAAAGTTCCACCGCTCACAGCTTCTCGAGGAGTGGATACACCTGAAATTGTAATTGGTCATGAATCCGGGTGGAGATTTGTTTTGCAAACAAAGGTGGTCTGTCAATGGCGCTAGCCAAACGTATTCAAAATTGATAAGATTCTGATGAAAAATGACAGCGATATCCCTAATTATGTAATTGCTCAAGTCTCGCTACAAAAGATGTATTCCGAAGCGAGAAAATTTCTCCGGAAAGTGAACGTTGCAGGGGTCGCCACGCCCATCAACGTGGGTGGCCTAGAGCTGAGGCCCCAAAACTTCATCAGAAATGTCGAAAGTCCGCCTTTTACTTGAAAAACACATTTTGGATGTTCATACATATTCTAGAGTCTATTTCGGGCTCATGCTCCTAGACCACCCACGTTGATGGGCGTGCCGACCTCAACCGGATCCGGCTTTTGCAGCAGTTTTCTTGCTTCCGAATGCACATTTCACAGCGGGACTTGGGTAATTATTCGGTTAGTAACCTCGCTATTTTACTGCATCAACTC